AAAAATATATTAATATATATCAGCTTTATTTCATTTACTAAAAATGGTTTACTAAAAATGTGCTTTTGTAATTTTTATTAGTTTTACATTTTTAAATATTTCCATTTAGCTTGAAATAATTTTTAGTTTTAGTAATTTTAGTAATTGCAGTGTCAAATTGTTAATTTTTTAATGGGTTTTAATTTAAAAAATAAATAAAATATATACTAAAATAAATATAATGTGTATTATAATGTAATATACATTTAAACTATGTTATGAAATAAATAAAACTTATATTAATATAATATTATTTCACCTTTATTTCAATTACTGAAAATGCTTTTTAATTATTTTTATTTTTGTATTCATTTTCAGTTCTTATATGCATGTATGTATGCATATGTGTGTGTGTGTGTGTTTTAGTTAACAATAACAACACTGGACTGTTTCCTTCTGGCAATGCAAATCTAGTTATTGTCTGTAATTCTGTTTCAGTGTCACTTGAAACTTCATCTTTAAGGTCAACTCTGCTTTTATCTTTCAAAGTTTCGCTCTCTCTTTCCTCAGACTTTCCTCATCGTCTTCCCAGATGGGGCGTCTTCAATCAAAGCACTCTCATTTAAGTCTTGGCCTCTGAGGTAAAATGAGCTTATAAAAAACAGACACGCACAAACAAACACTTCTTGGCCCCTGACAACACTGATTCATTCCCTGATCACTTTGTGAACCCGCCGTAAGTTCGTCTGAAGGGTGACGCGCGCATCAGAATGCAGAGAACATGACGTCTCATCTGGATTCGACCTCGCTAAATGAGCTGGAAAGCTCTCAATTCAGTTCTGTCACGGATCACTCAAGACTTGATGCGTCGTCTATTTGAGTTGAAGGATGAACTCGTGACAGGCTAAATAGATGCTCAACCCCCGGGTTATTTAATATGAGGATAGAGATTGGTTACCTGAGGTCGGCTTTGAGTTTGCATGCAGTGTTTGAATGCAGTCTTGTAAATGCATGAGACCGTTGACCCTCAGATGTAAGACTCTCTCGTGAGTGTTTTCTCTGTAGATTGTCATGTTCGTTAGACTTGCATTGCTAACCTCACAGTCTCCCGGGCTTCAGATGTCCTTATGATGGAACAACGCATTTCTCGTACTCAACTGGAATAATTAGAGTGGCTGTAATTAACTAATTGTATGAGAGGCACAGTTAGCTCTAAAAACAAACACAACATCAGCTGACTGTCGCTCAGCCTTCAACTCATGTATAGCCAAGGGTTATTAGCATTAAAAAAAAATTCATATATATATATATATATATATTAGGGCTGTCAGTCGATTCAAATTTTTTATCTAATTAATTACATGATGTGTCGATTAATTACTCTAATTAATTGCAAATTACATTTGACTGTGAAAATACCCCCAAAAGATTATTTAAAACCATTTTTGTGTTAAATGAGAAAGTAGTATTAATACTTTCAATTCATTGAATTAATTAATACTGTCAACATAAAAAAACAACATTATGTTGAATGATTAATTGAATCTTTATTTGAACCTCTAACTCTAGCACTTTCTATTCTATTTAATTCTACTTTATCTATTTATCTGTCTTTTATATTTAAACAAAAAACACTAGCTTTCAATTTTTTTTGTTCTATCTACTTGTTTTTCTTTGTGTGTGTGTGTGTGTGTGTGTGTGTATATATATATATATATATATAAACCTTGCTACGTGTACTGCATTAGGCTAACCGAGACTTATTTGCACTTATATATTGTTGCTCTTTTGTTAGTTTTGACGGCTTTTATTGTCCTCATTTGTAAGTCGCTTTGGATAAAAGTGTCTGCTAAATGACTGAATGTAAATGTAATGTTTGTAAATTAATCAAATTAAATATTTATTTCTAAAGCTACTATTTGTAATGTCTAAATAGTAGCTTTGGAAAGAAATATTGTATTTGATTCAACATAAAATGTATTACACATAAACGATAGGCCTAACATAACCTATGGAACGTAAAAGAAGATAATTTGAGAAAAATTCTTTCATTCATGCTATGGACGTTTTTGGTAACCAAAACAGCTTAATTACCAACAGTCTTCAAAATACAAAAGAAAGAAAGTAACTCATACAGGTTTCAGTAAATGATGACATAATTAAATTATTTTGGGCGAACTATCCCTTTAAAGTGCCCCCCCCCTTTTTTTGTTACATGAAATAATACCATAAATAAGAAACAAAACTGCCTGCAGGTGGCTGTAAATGTCTTTATGAGCCATTCACTCGATTCATTCAAACGGCTGATTCTCTCTCATGAATGGGCTTTGAATCATTGATTCACACGATTCGTTCAAAACGCGGATTCATTCAGAAACTAAACACCACTGTGTTGCTCAGAGACGTGCAACAATTCTGATCTGGCTTTATAGGTAATACTTTTGCTGGCAAAACTGAGCAAAACAGATAATATTGTGTTTAAAATATAACACAAAATTAACTTCTTATTTGCTGAATGGTGGTATAGAATCACATTTGCATTCGGGACAAACAGCACTCGTGTGATAGCCTATTGCTCTCGCTGCTCGTATGATATCGCTTATCATATGATATATGAGACAAAAACTCATACAGCAGCATTTTTGCCAAAATATCTTGAATTTTAGGGCATAACTGCATTTATGGAGTTGTTGCCCTGCATTATATTTGTCAACTGTTTGAAATGTAAGGTGATGTACAGGTCTGGGGGCGGGGCCAGTGCGTTAATTGCATTAAAATATTTTAATCACGTTAGTTTTTCATAACTAATTAATTTAACGTGTTAAACTGACAGTACCATATGTATGTATGTATGTATATATATTTTTCATTATTTGAAAATAAAAACATTAAATGAAATTAATTATATAAAACTTTCAGCTTGTTGCCAAGGCAACATTTCTAATTTCTGTTTAGTTTAAATTGAAGTACTAAAATAATTGAACTAATAACGAAAACTTGATAAAAATGACATATTTAAAAAACAAACAATGAGAAGAACAAACAACAAAATTTTAAGCCGACATTTCTCATTGTTTAAGGATTCATTCAGAAACTAAACACCACTGTGTTGCTCAGAGACGTGCAACAATTCTGATCTGGCTTTATAGGTAATACTTTTGCTGGCAAAACTGAGCAAAACAGATAATATTGTGTTTAAAATATAACACAAAATTAACTTCTTATTTGCTGAATGGTGGTATAGAATCACATTTGCATTCGGGACAAACAGCACTCGTGTGATAGCCTATTGCTCTCGCTGCTCGTATGATATCGCTTATCATATGATATATGAGACAAAAACTCATACAGCAGCATTTTTGCCAAAATATCTTGAATTTTAGGGCATAACTGCATTTATGGAGTTGTTGCCCTGCATTTTATTTGTCAACTGTTTGAAATGTAAGGTGATGTACAGGTCTGGGGGCGGGGCCAGTGCGTTAATTGCATTAAAATATTTTAATCACGTTATTTTTTCATAACTAATTAATTTAACGTGTTAAACTGACAGTACCATATGTATGTATGTATGTATATATATTTTTCATTATTTGAAAATAAAAACATTAAATGAAATTAATTATATAAAACTTTCAGCTTGTTGCCAAGGCAACATTTCTAATTTCTGTTTAGTTTAAATTGAAGTACTAAAATAATTGAACTAATAACGAAAACTTGATAAAAATGACATATTTAAAAAACAAACAATGAGAAGAACAAACAACAAAATTTTAAGCCGACATTTCTCATTGTTTAAGTTGAAGTACTAAAGTAACTAAAACTTAATAAAACAATATAGACATTAAAACAAAGACACACAATAAAAATGACAAAAACTTATTTTATTTCAGCTAATTGCCAAGGCAACATTTTTAATTTCTGTTGAAATACTAAAATAACTAAAACAGAATAAACTAAAATGTAATAAAACTATATAGACTTATTTCAAATTTTAAATATATATTTAAAAACTTTATACTTAAAAAAAAAAAGTGTTTAGTTTAAGACGGAACACTAAAATAAATACTACATAAACTTAAACTTAAAGACTAAAAAAAATATAAACAAATAAAAAATGACATGCAACAAAAATACAAAAACTTTAACTAAAATTCAAAATCAAACAGAAACAGTTCCAGTCCTTGATTCTGATTGGTCAACAGCTGTGTTTTAAACTAAAGACGGAAAGCAGACGTTTTCTCACGCTGAGAGATAAGCAGATGTATGTATCTGAGAGAGTTTCATAAAACCACTACCAAACTATAAATATAACGTTAAAAGAACATGACAAGTGGTTTCTCAGCTATTTTTATATTTGCTTCAAAAACACGTCTGAATCGATATCTAAGGATCCTTATGACAAGATAAATTCACTTGTAATTTGTCTTGTTGCACGGGTAGATTTCTCCACAAGATTAAATACATCTACACCGTATGCTTTCTTTGAAAATAAGCCTCTTGTCTGATGCAGCTTTGATTTTCAGCTCAATTTGTCTTGTTTTAAGGATGTGTGGATGTTTTTACTGGCAAACAAGAATTATATTTTTACACTGTTTACACATCAAGCGAAGCTCAATAAACCTTCTGTCTGCCCGCAGCACAGTTAGACATAATTATGCCCAGAAAATGGATTAAACAATCGTCTTTGCATGAATAATGTAAATCGAAGCTCTTTCTGTGGCAGTCTTAAATGGGCGCTGTTCTCGTATTGATTTCTGTCTCGTCCTGACCGCTGCCTCTCGTGTCTCAGATCACCAGCTTCCTGTCATGCATCCATTTCCTCTTCACTGGTCTGTCCTGTTCACTCTCAGCTTCGCTCCATCAGTGCAACCATCACGACCTCAATATTTATCACCTCAACGTTCAGAATCGCAAAGTATTATGGGCGTTTCCTTGTGCTACGCTGTCGAAAATGAAGTTCTTACTCAGTATTTTTGTCTTGAAATATCTAAACATTCTTCAATCAGAATATGTGTACTTACACATGGGTCAAAGACGGAAAAAGGTTTAAACATAAAAAAAAATAAGTGTAATACTGCTTTAAATTGTTGTTTTTCCCCCCAAAAAGTAAAAAAAAATTGTGTTTAATTTAATTGCAATTTTGTTTTTGTTTTTCTGAGCAAAAAATTAATATCATACATTTCCCCCTGATTTACAGAAGAGAGCCACTAAAATGTAATTCAGTGTAACAATCTTGTCAGGCATATTTACAACAAAAATCTATTTATGACATATTAAAAGACTAATTACTTTCACCCCAAATACTAATTAGTGGTAATTTTACATTTTTAAAATGTGCCACTATCCTAGGTTTTTTAAAACACAATCAAATTTAATATGCTCTCTTATTTTTTTATATATTTTAATATGTACACGTCAGAATAAGCATGTTGTTTGAATTTTTACATAAATATTGTGTTACACTGAATCACAACGTAACATTATTTCAACCTAATTTTGACATTTTATTCTCCAAAAACTTATTTGAAACCTTAAAAGTAGAAACTTTACTTACATTCAATGTGCTTTCTATGGACATAAAATCACTTTTGTCCATTTCTTTTGATGCGGACGTCTTAACGTCTTTGACCAACATACATTTCGAAGATAAGATATTCTGAAAAAAATATGTTTTTGGATAAAACATGAAAATGTGACCTTCTCTGTGAAATCCAGGCTAAAGTCTCAAAATCGAATTATGAGACAACAAGCATCAAAGTTTGATTTCACTGTGATTTCAGTCTTTGACATGGTCTTACTCAGTCAGTAATAAAGATAACAATGTTACATTTTCACAGAATGTTCTTTACCTTATGAAGGATGGTTTTATATAGAAAACAAAACTACCAAATTTTGCTATAAGTTTGATCGCAACGCACTGTATAATCATTGCAGTTAATAGTGTTCACCGTCTGTTTGATTACATGACATTAACTAACTGCTTGATTTTTACTGTACATTTCTGCCATAAGGACATCAGCTTGAGATAGTCACCGCTGATAAGCTATTACTAAATATAATGTAGAAACTTGAATTTTCTGTAAAGCTGCTTTGCAACGATTTGCATCGTGAAAAGCGCTATACACTTGAATATATTGACTTGAAAACAGTAAATCACCAAAAAATGACTTTAGCTGGGTTTTCACAGACAGGGTCACAAATATCTATTTTCCCTGTGAATTGTTTATTTTTATTACCCCACTGGCGGATATTTTCTCATGTTTTAGGCTTAAACTCACTTCATTTTGATGCAGTTTTCAGAAGCAAGACGTAATGTAATTTTGCTTCTCAAGTAAATGTATCTTGATTAGATATAATTGTATTGGAAAACAAGACAAAATTGCTTAGTAAGACTACAAGTGTATGTTTAATGTCATAATGAGTTCCGGTTATTAGACATATACACATTTAACATTTGCATTTCTGTGCTTAACAGCCACTTTCTTACAGAAGCAGAAATCGTGTGTTAATCGTGTGTGACTGAGAATGCATGACATATGAACCTAGGCCTCAAACGGCAAGAAGAACCACAGCAATGGGAAGGATCTGGAATTACAGCATGAGGAGGGCTGCTAAAACAAAAGGTTTGTGGTTCTTTTGTATTATAAGTTTCAACAGCTCATGTTTAATGACTAAAAATGATTGTGAGTTTGGAGGTCATGTTACAATTTTGGGGTTGGTAAGATTTTTTACAAGGTTTTTCAAAGAAGTGCACCAAGGTTTCATTTATTTGATGCTATTAATGTGTGTGTATAATTAATTTTATAATAATTTATTAATATTTAATATTTTATTAATTATATATAAACTATAATATATATAATTATAAACTATATTATATTCATATATAGTATATTAAAATATAACTATATTATATTTTAATAATAGTGTGAATTTATTATAAATTAAATAATATTTGATCACTATTATAAGATTTGCACTTTCATATTCAGGTTTTATTTATTTATTTATTTTTGCTCACCAAGGCTGCATTTATCTGATCAAAAATACAGTAAAATCAGTAAAATTTTAAAATATTATTACAATTTCAAACAACCATTTTCTATATGAATATATAGTAAAATGTAATTTATTCCTGTGATCAAAGCTGTATTTTCAGCATCATTACTCCAGTCTTCAGTGTCACATGATCTTCAGAAATCATACTAATATGCTGATTTGCTGCTCAAGAAACATTTCTGATTATTATCAATGTTGAAAACAGTTGTGCTGCACAGTATTTTTGTGGGAATCATGATACATTTAGTTTTTCAGGATTCACAGATGCATAGAAAGTTCTATTTATTTGAAATTGAAACCTTTTGTAACATTATTAATGTCTTTACTCTCACTTTACAACAATTTAATGCATCCTTGCTGCATAAAAGCATTTATTTCTTCCAAAAAAAAAAGTACTGACCCCAAACTCTGTCTATTTTAAGAAAGAGAAATTCATAACAAAATGTGTAGCTTGTGCTACTAACATCAGCCACCAGGGGCTCTGCCTAAATGCAACATAGTTTCATTCCTGGCTTCTGATTGGTCGATGCAGTATGACAGAAAGACAAGGCTCTAAATGCACCAGTAGAAGTACAAATGATTATAATACTCTGCTTTAATCTGTTTTCCATGTAATGTGCGAGTTCTCAAATTCACACTGTGTACATCTGTGTTCATTCTGACGCTTTTAGCCGCTCTGAGATGAATCTGTCGCGTATCAGATTCTCTGCTCATTATTCCTCTCTCTCTCTGTGTTCACTTTGGCTCTCATGTTGAATTCAAACAGTATGGCAGATAAATATATTCATGCGAGGAAGCCAAACATCTGGATTTCCTCTTTCCAACTAGATCGCCATCCCGTCTCATTCCTGCCACATGTTGAATGATATGAGGTTGGGAACATATTACCATCTCATTTAATTAATATGAGGCTGTAGATGTTATGAACTTCACCTTAAATGTCTGTTAACAACACAGCCTGTGTAGTTGCATTAAAAAAAGAGCAGTTCGAGGCACAAGGACAAACTGTTGTGAGAGAAAATTGAATGCATTTAGAGGCTGAGTGAAACAGAAAAGGTGACAGTTTCACAATTGATGTTGTTTGCAAACTTTAGACTGTGACTTTATGAATGTTTGTGGCATGAAGCAAAGAAACGGACAGTAAATACAGTGTTTGCTCCACTGTAATCTGTGGTTAACCTGTTGGGGACGTTGGAGGGGAAGAAAATGATTTCTGAGATAGTAATAGCGGTTATTTGTTGCTAGGTTACTGCATCGTGACAAAAGCCCCTCTTGAGTTTAATCAAGATCAGCGCTCTGGTTGGTTGAGTTTAGAGATGGGCTGAGATTGACCAATTTTGCTAATGCTGCTTGTTTTCTTGCACAGAACAGGCACAGGATGTACACATAATAATGCCAAAAACATGTTTGTCAGAATTAAAGTCTGGGAAATGCATGTAATATTAAGGTTAGTCTTAAATCTATAAAGCCTGATGTATGAAATAATAGACAAAATATAAAAAGAAATCAAAAAAAAGTTTGAATATGTGATCCATCAGGCTTTTATGGCCTATATAGTCTGATAAAGATTTTATGGCCCATATAGTCCGAAAATACGGAGGAAAAAAACAAACCAGCTCAATTTATTCAAAGACTCAAACTGAAACATGCAATTTGCTGCTTATATTTATATGGACAAAATGTATGAAATTCTGATTGTATGAATGTACATCAATGAGATTTTTAACAGTATAGCAGATACTTGCATAAAATTATATAAATATCAGTTGTCACTTTGTATCTCCAATAATATGTATTTGTATGATGATATTTAAATGCTTACACTGCAAAACATGATTTTGTTATCTAATATTTTTGTCTTGTATTCTAGTACAAATATCTAAACATTTCTCAATCAAATTTACTTGAGAAGCAAAATGACTTAAACAAGTATCAATGTATTGTTTTGGCTTTAAACAAGAAAAAATATCTGCCAATTAGGTCATAAAAAAAACTTAATTCAAAGGGATAACAAGATTATTTGTCTTGTTCCTGCCACTGTACACTGTTGGAAGGAGTACGAGGGAAAAAATCAAAAATCTTTAATCCTAGGAACACAGGGTAAATCCACACAAAGGGCACTGGAGCAAACACACGTACACAACGAGTAGTCCCGACAGATACAGACTGCACAGACTGGGACTTAAATACAGGGGATGATTGGGGAAACACAGGTGCATGGGATGACTGATCCAACTAATTAACTAAGGAGGAGGCTCAGGAGGAGGACGGATGTCCAGGAGGGGACCAGCAGACAGAGACCAGGGAGGTGACGATGGAGGGAGGGAGGAGACAGGAGGGGCTTTGAGCAGGAGGAGCCCAGCTGGACCCAGGCCACAGCCATAATGTCGACCCACGGTGGAGCCGACGGAGGGAGAAGCCATGAAGGAGGAATGGCCACCGACCAATGGCGGCGGAGCAGAGAGTCAACGAGCCAGGGGGATGCCGAGGATCCAGGGGGCTAGGGTGGAGCCGAGGGCTCTGGCGACCGAGGTGGAGATCCGGAGATCCGTGGCAGAGCCGGAGAGACTGAGGACCAAGGTGGAGCTGGCGGGTGGAAGGAGCCCAATAGAGCCGGTGGGACAGAGTGACGAGGTGCAGCCGCAGGAGCGGAGTCCTGAGGCGATGGCGGGTCGACCCCCGACCAAGGCCGAGCCGGAGGGACGAGGGAGCCCGGTGGAGCTGGTGAATCGACGGGTGACGGTGGAGGCAAGGGAGTTAGCAGCCGAGGTGGAGCCGCTGGGTCTACGGGCCGAGGCGGAGTCCGGTCCTTGGAGGCGGAGGTGAGGTATTCTCCAGCCATGGTGACGCTGGAGGATGGCAGACCCGCAGAGCTCGCACTGTAATGATGGTGGGCTGAGGGCGAGCAGAGGGGCTGCCATTTGTGAGCCTCCGGGCATTCAGGGCTAAACTCTGAATCGAGAGCCCCCACTAGGCTGAATACGGGAACAGGATGGTGCTCTGGAGGATCGGACACTTGGGGGCGCTTTCTAGGAG